GGAAAGGGAGCGGTCAGGGTGGGGGGCCTGAGAGGGGGCAGCAGGTGCAGGGGGGTAGAGTGGGTAGGCAGGCACCATGGTTGGGTAAGAGACGTTAAAAGCTGACTGGGATGCTTCTGACGGGGACCACGAGGTTTGGTTGAGACCCTGGAGAGGGGGGCGGGGTTTGCGGTGTGATACAGCGCTGTCTGACGAATCAGGATGCTTCATCCGCTGCTTCTTGGACTTCCTATTGCGGATGCCCTTCTTGGCAGTAGTCTCGGGCCTGGTGGTGCCCTGTTTGGCTGCACCTCGTGGTCCAGATGATTCTGAGATGGAGAAGACAGAAAGTTGTTTTTCAGAGATGAAGAACTAGGAACTTGCCTGCCTATATACAAATATAGAATTGGGTCCTTCAATTTTTTTCTTTTTACAAAGGCATGTGGTTACCTTCAGCGTTGGCTGACCCTCTCTGCTTGTGCAGGTATGTGTAACAGTCCCTCTGGAAGGACCTGGCGTTGCGGAGCTCTCGGCAGCGGGTGAGGAATGCCTGCTCTTCCTTTTGAGTGTGTGCAGCCAGCACCTGTTTGGTCAGTCCTAGCCGCTTGTAGGCCTCCTTCTCCTGGCTGGGCGGAGACACCACGCTGATGGGCAGAGCCGGGGGTGCGGGGCTCTCTGCCACGTCCTCAATAATCTCTGCAGAACAAATCAGAGCCATCAGCATCAGTCAAACAGCACTTATTATCTAGCTGTTGGATGGATACACATTCGGTTATGCTTGTTTGCCTGAATCACTTCTATTAAAGAATGAACACTCACCAGACTCGGGCTGAGGCTTCTTGTCTCCCACATGGACGATGGTGCTGCTGTAGCTGCACTGAGAGGTGATGGACACCACACTCTCAGCCTTGCTGGGCAGGGTGAGGGGTGCCAGGGGTCCTCCCACCACAGCAGCTGCCCTAGATGGCTTCTTTGGGGCTTTCATGTTTGACAGGCCTGGCTGGGCGGCGAGCATCAAAGGGTCTGGACGGGGAAAGAGAAATCCAATGTTAGCTCCAAGCTGTAGATGATTACAGTCTGACTGCTATCAGTAAAGTGGGCGAACTGAGTGATTGCAAGCAACAATGAAAATGAATAACACAAAGGGTGTTCAAGGGAAGGGGTCTGATATTATAGATGTAGGTGGAGGTGTGTGACTTGTATGAGGTGTACATGCCTGGGTTTGTATCTTGAGGCACTTGCATGCCATCCTCTGAGCCCTTCTTGTCATCATCAGAGTTGGAGGAGGTGGTGTTGGAGGAGAACTGGTACTTTCTCTTCACTGTGACAGGGATGTTACAACTCTCCAGGTACCTGAGAAAATAAACTGAAATGATCAGAGTGTGCTCGCTTCACGCATGTCATCATGATCATCATCATCATCATCATCACCGTTCACTGAACACAAACACCAACCCTTACCTGATGACGCTGTCGAGGCAGCTGATCTGCTGGTAGGAGTGGACAGTCTGGTCTTTGCAGGCGAAGTCTTCCACGCTGGCTGCAGTACTGTCTCTGACCTGCAGAGGGGGCGGCGAGTCCTTCAGACGCACTGCTGGACTCTTCTGAGCTGCTGCTGGAGAGGAATGGATAAGAAAATGTCAGAAATACCCACACCCACACACACACACACACACACACACACACACAAAGACTGGCAGGTAAACACACAAAGCTTAACACAAAATATAAAATATATATACATTTTGTTTGATTCTGATTCTTGTGGCATTGCAGTGTAACTACTGTACGTACTATACGTATAGTAGTTACCTTTTTGTTTTATGTTTTATGCACTTTTGATGTATTTAATTGAATTATTGTTTTTGGAGAGCAACTTTTTAGAATTTTTAGAGAGTTTGTAGATTTTCTACCACTGTGACATGCCACTTCAGCTTCAGCTCACATTGTCACTAATGCTTCAAAGACTGAGTGTGGTTATTTGCACTGACAGATGTTTGACAGATGATGATGTTTATGTATAGCTCACGGTTAAGAGTTTCATCCCCTTAAATATCAGCCTTACAATAAATGTATTCACAGAAAGGTGCCTTCTTTGGTGATATCAAACTGTACTCACTGTCAGTGGTCTTCCTTTGCTCAGGCTTCGATGGCGACGGTGAGGCCGAAGGGGAAGGGGAATGCAGGCAGACCTGGGAGTCCTGGTTCTTCAGCATGTGGACCCCTTTACAAATCTCCTGGAATGTCCTGGGAGGCTTGGCCTTGCCCGTCTCCTCCGCCGTCTTCCCTGCAGTGACGTTCCCGTTGCTCTCGCTGGATGAGCTGATGCCCACCAGCTGCTCATGGGAACCGTTGCTGCCGTGGCTGCCATAACCGCTGGAACCTACGTTGTGGATGGGCTGAAGAGAGAAAAGGTTGCTACAGAAACTGACAAATGCTTGTATGAAAATGTGTACATACAACTGTGTCTGTGTAGCTACATACTTGGAGTAGCAGCCTGTGGATCTGTTCACTGATTTCCTGGATGTCTGAGTCCATGATCTTCCCTCCATGGAAAGCTGGTGCTGCAAAAACATCTTCATTCACAGGACCCCTGAAAAACACACACACCACTGTCATCTAGCATGTTCAAAGTGGAATATATCCCAACATATCACTGCTGATGAACCTGAACTAAAACAATGCATTGGGTGTACTCACATGCGGACTTTGTGCCTGCCAATGACAAAGGAGACCTTGCGGCTCCAGGGGTTGACGAAGCTGGACCAGCTGGTGTCGATGGTGATGTACTCGCCATTTCTTGCGCAGAAACGGATCGAGGAGTGATCAAACGGCTGACCGGCATACTGCAGAACTGTGGGGCAACAAAGAGTAGACATTTATTAAAACCTGATACACACTGATGAAACACAACTGAGCTGTTTTCTATTTTCCCATCATTAACTGGTAAACAATGAATGTGTGAAACCTGGAATGAAATCAAGTGAATGAATGGGGTTCTTACTCTTGCGATGCACAGCCAGCATCAAGGGTCGGTCACTTGGGTGCAGATTGAGGAGCACAGGGGTTCCAATCAGGTCCTGCGGGAGGTAACCCAACAGAGGAACAGCCCTGATGGAGAAACAACAACAATAACAACGTGATTAATACAATTAAAAACACATCAACTATCAAAATAGTTAAAAGTGATTTATTTAGCAGTTTACAACTGATCGATTAATCGACTCATTGTTGCAGCTCCACTGACCTCTCATCCACATCCTGGAACACACAGTTTGGTGTGTGTGTCGTGGTGAAGATACGCTTGTCAGGAGGAATTCTGGGTGCTGTGGAGAGAGAGGAAGGGAAAAAAATGAAGTGGCCAGTAAGACAAGCAAATGGTGATCATTCAACATGAACAGTACCATGCTTTTAGCCAATTGTTTTATTTAATGTTTGTACTATTCATCTAAACTCAAAAAGACTGTGTGTGTTATATGACTGAGTGAGGCAATGCAGTAATGAACACAACAAATGTTGTGTGAAAGCATGTGAATATGGTTGCAGGTCTCACCTTCGTATCCAGAGTGCACCCTCTCAGCCAGCAGGAGGCAGCAGAACTGTTCCTCAGCCAGCTCGGCATCCTGGACTTTCATCAGGTAGGGAGTCATACGGAAAGGATAGTACTGGAGATCCCCTTCGCGCTCCTTACCACCACTGCAACACAAACACAAACACCATTAAAATACTGTTTTATAGTATTGGAGTATTACCTAAAGAAGCTTTCAAAAATACATTTGAGTTTGCCCTTTATTCTTTTATTCTTTTATTTTATTCTTAAAAAGAATCAACAATCTGTGTATGTGTATCAGTGCCTGAAAGCTGTATCCTTTTATAATTGTTATAATGTATTAATAAGGTAATTAAGGCTAATGAACATTTTGAATTGGTTTAAGTCCTCATTTTTAAAGATTGCATACACTTAAATAAAATTATATTTTGTTGTAGTGAATAGTTAAAGGATCTTGCACACGAACACCGCACTTAACATAAACTGCAGCTGTAAATGTCTTTATTTCTGAAAGGTTTCTAATTAACCATGTACACTAATGTTATGCTATTATAACATGATCACAGCAGAAGACCTTAATCTTAAACTGTGGCTGTAACACTCCATCTGGTCACTAGATGGAGAAACAGTTTAAAAGCTCACAGCTGCTGACTTCCTCCCTCCTCTCAGCCGCCCTCTCTCTTGCTCACCAACCCTGTGCTGAGTCAGAGCTTGTTTGAGCAGGAAACTATGGATCAGAGAAGCTGCCGGCCACTGGCACTCACCTGATGCGACAAAAGAAGGATTTCTCCTGCATGCACTCCGTGGGAGATGACTCTGAATAAGAGACACAGAGAAGGTGGGATGAATATATCACCAGATTGACTACTTCCAAGCAAGCCATCTGTTAGTCATCTATATTCAACACACTGTTGACGGGACCTGAGAAGTCTGTCTTTCTGAAGTTTGAAGATTCATTGTAGTTAAAATACTCTGAAAAAGTGTGTAAATATACACATACAGCTGCTTAACCATGACTTAAACAGCTTGATGACCCAGTGATCCCTGCAGAGCCTCAATGTTTTTACATCACTGGACTGATAGCAGCTCCCAAATCCCCAAATGACCACAAGCTATTTAAGTGAGACTATAGAAAGACAACAGTGGCTAAAGTGGATTGACAATGGAATACTATTATAAGAAGGGTGCAAGACCCCAACCAGCTTGAAAACAGACTGAAAGATGACATAATCTAATGCAGGTGTGCATTTGTTTTTGAGTTGATATTTGCATGCAAATTCAATAACACCAGCAACACCACTAACAGCTCCAGAATTGATAATAGACACAAACCAATACCTCTAAGACTTTAAGACAGTGTCAACATTAATTGAAGATTTTAAGTCTCAGAAAAGTTGGATTTATTGCAGAGCACCTGCAGAGGTTTACATTATGAGATTTGCAGGTGTAACTTAGAGCTTCTGACTGTACCAACACCAATACCATTATGTCTTCAGCAAATATGTAGCGGGTGTGCGAGTGGGTGTGCATTCATTAATGTGTGATTGAGCATGTTAATGCAATATGTGCTATGTGTGTATGAGCATGTGTGTGTGGGTGTGGGTCATGTGAAGGAAATTGATGCTTGTGTGTGTGTGCAGGTGATTGGGGTCGTGTTTCGAGCGGGTTCTCCACGTGCCCTTTCTTGGTGATGGAAATGTACGACACATTCCCACTAGTGTTAATATCACTAACGAAAAGCATGAATATGTTAGTCAACAACCTTTGTTTCCACAACTAAGATGAGACGATGAAGAGAACTATTTTACCAAAATTAAAGTTAAAAATTAAGTCTAGGTTATATTTACAGTAGAATAGTTCCATAGCCCTTTGCAATGGGTAACTGAAGCCATTATATCGGTCTTAGTAATTTTCCCTCGTAGAACGCAAGAGTTGCTTGTCCACTGCTGCCTTGATCAGTTAGTCTGTTTGCGTTATTGTAGGAGTTCGGTGTTTTAAAGTCATAGTTCGGACCCAAACTAAGGTGTTAACTACCCAATCGTGGCAGTGGTAGAGCAGCAACTCCTGCATTCTGCAAAGTAAAATTACAGTTTTTCTGGTGGAGGAGTCTGGTGGATTTGAAGACAGATGATTCTGATTTGTGTGAATTTATTTCTCCACATGTGCATTTATTTGTTACTGGTTGGTTACAGCTTCACCTACTCTGAAGGTATATGCACTGGGAGATGCTTTATTGTGAGAAGTTAAAGTTAAAAGGGAAGTTAGGTAACAGTAGAAGAAGTGACAAAGTCCCTTTTGGCAGGAAGATGTGACGGATGAGTGGGTTAATTCTGGGAGACTGTGGTTCAAATCCGCTGTGTAAAATTTTATATTTATACTGGCTTTTAACTGAAAGATTTGGATGGGGTTTTAGGCTCCAAAGTGATGCTCGGCTATTATTTGCATATTGTAGAGGAAAAATAATTCACAATTGTAAATCCCGGTGTGAACTGGTCTATATCTGAATGTATAATCCTCAAATATTCATTCAAGGTTTAAGCTAAGAGACAGCTGGTACCTGCTCCGGTGCACATGCTCCATGAGGGCAGGCGGTAGGGGGTGGTAAAGCTGTAGAACACACTGACGTCCTGAGGCGTGAGGAACTCCACAAACTTGGCATTGTTAAACACTTCCCGCTTGCAGTTCAAGATGGACGCCGCCTGGTCCGAGATGTAAACAATCTTCCCCGTAATGAGTGAGACGGCTACAGCAAATATATCCTGCCGGTGAAAAGATACAGACAACTATTAACAAACCAGTGAGTTAGGCATCTTTGCATTTCAGTATGTTCTATAACTGAAGCTGTATCCTCTCTTATGTAACTGCACTTCTGCAATATACTTTTTGGCTGTTCCTTTTTTCCTCATTGCAGGGTTAAAGTCAGAGGTACTTACAGTGTTTTTGAGGGTGTATTCGGAGGTGATGCTGTTGATTTCCTCGATGGTGTAGGAGGATACATCAAACCCTGGTGGCTGACTGTCATTAATCATCAGCATCTGGTAGTATTCCTCATTGGCTGCAAAACAAAGAGAGGATGGATCAATGCACATATCACTTCACACAGTGATCACACTGTGGGCAGTAGTTACTTTTCTAAGCATCATGTTTTATCTCATAACCATAAGAGATTTTTTTTGGTAATTGTTTTTGATGCAATATTCACACTCAAAATCAGAGAATATGATTCGGAGTCTATGTCCCAGATCGATACAAATTCTACAAGATTTTTAATTATCTAAGGAAAATGTCACTTTCTTCACCAACGTAACAGTCGTCAACATTGCTGATGTACAATAAACAGCGAAGTGAATACACAAATGAGCACGCATGAAAAAAGTGCCAATGGAAGCAAGTCTTACCTTTCACCTGTTTGACACATCGCAGCGCATATTTCAGCGTGTTGACGGTGCTGGACTTGCCCTTGCTCCTCTTTTCCGACGGCAAGTGCATCTTCAGCTCCTTTAGGGTCTTGAACAGCTCCTTCTGTGTCTTAGCTTTGGCTGACTGTTCGCTGCTGCAGGGCGAGCATGAGACAGATACACGTGCATCAAAATGACAAGGTCTCACCAGGGCTGTCACACTCTGAGGAGCACAGGAGGGCGTGGCTACCAGTATGTAGGGTTGTGGTATGAGGGGATTGATTGGCAACGGGATGCGTCAGAGTTTGAGAACTTTCTACTGTTGCATACAAGTATAAAACTCCTACTGCCGACACATTTTACATCTAAGGAGGAATAAACAAGTGTATCAAATGGTAAGCGTTGCATCTCCATTTAAAACCGAATTTTGAAAGGTAAGATGTAAGATGTAGACTAACCTGCAGCCGCTGGTTGAAGGGTTGTCCTGCTCGGAGCTCACCAGACTGAAGGCATTGGAGCTGCTTGGCGGTGAGGGGCTGTGAGAGTTTGAGCTGCAAGCACAGACAACATTTCATGTTATTGAAGGTGTACAGAAAGGCCACTAAACAGAGCATTATGACAGGGCAGTTAGATTGGCTAAACAAAACGTAAGACTAAATAAATTAAGTGGGTGAAGGGCTTGGTGTTATTGACAGGGCTTGTACTGCTTTTTAAGAGTGAAATCCAAGCACTTTTCAAGGTTTAAACCTAAAATTTTCAGACTCTCAAAACCTTTATCATCTAAACTGACGAGGAGACAAAAAACAAATATGATGAGATATTTTGCTTTCAATTCAAGCATTTTCCAAACCTTGAACAACATCTGTATCTCCTGTACAAATAAGTCAACAAACAGTGGCACAGTTCAAAACGAGGACCAGGTGGTGCACCGCTATAAACTCTACTACTTCTACTTTTCCCATGAATAAAATCTTGTTTTTTTATTGTTGTTTAAGTTATGATGGTACTGTAGCTCTAATGGGAGTATTAAACCACCAAAAATCGACTCTGGCAATGTTAGTCTAGCAGTTCACGCATAAAGCACAAATACATATGGAAGTACATCAACAATCTGATACAATCCCATACAAAAGCCCCTGAATGTATCCTTGACATATAGACTCACTTTTGAGCCTGAAGTAGTTGGTGGTGTTGTGCTGTACTGGACTGCATGTTGGAAAGTGTTTCCTCCACCTCTTGGATGTAAATGGAGGTGGAGGAAACACTAGAGCTTCGTTATGTAACAGCCGGACTACAGTAGATGCACTGCTTTTTTCAGACAAGAGATGAAGACGATAGACAGATGTAGTGCAGCATGTTATTGAAAGCCTGGCATCTCTTAATTGCATATGGACTATCAACAAAGACTGTGCCACAGCTATTTAGCATTTTAAAATAAAATGTCATTATTATCTCTGAGGAGCTAGCAAGTGTTATTTGAGTATGCCACACCACATGATTAATCTTATGACACCACAGAATCGGAAATTTGTAGACAATTAACCTGCTTAATTAAAGAGCCTGCGTCGTACAATTTCTTCTTTTGAAGGCAATAACAAGTTATTACTAAACAAGTCATTTCTAAATGGAACTGTGCCAACAGTCATTGTCTTCTACACTGTCTGTCTCATAATTTGAAATAGAATACCCACAGCTGTCCTCAGTCTGAGACAGTCGCTGCTAGACTACAATGATGACTCAGAGCAACAATGACTCATGCAGGGGAAAATGGCCCTTCTATTACATTTAATGAACCTTACTTCCGTGACCTAGATGGTCCACTCAAAAACTTGATTTAGAATGATTCAGTGCGTTTGATGTGCCCTCACCTCTTGTTGCTCCCCGAAGACTCCATGAGAGCGGAATCCTTGCCATTGCCATTTGAGCTGCCCACAGATTCATTGCCATGGGATTCATTGCCGTGCGACTCGTTTCCATGGGATTCTGTCCCGCTCCCACTTCCGCTGCCGCCCATCTCTACATCTTCGTGTAAGGGTGGCCGTGGCCGCTTCCTGTCATCGTGTGGGGAGCCCGGCGAGGTCGGATGCTCGTGGCTGCTGTCGCTCCCCTCGGAGGCCAATCCTAACTCGGCATCCAGTTCGACCCCATCCCGCCCGCCACAACCCTCATCGTAGCTGCTAGCCATGCGATGAAGTTGGTTAATAGAGGCACAGGGAGAGGACACCTCTTCGTCCACCTGGAAGCCGACCCTTTCACAGTTACGTTCACGCCCGTCCAGGGTTGAGTACAGGTAGTGCTTTGGATCACTGTCCTCAGACATGGGACGGACCAAAGGGCAAAAGATGGGAGTTTAAGTTACCTTCCACATGGCAATGCCATTAAGAGCTTGGCAGTGGCACGCAAATGGAGTTGATGCCTCAGGAGTGGGGATGCAGTCTAAAGGAGAAAAAGAAACCACAGGTGAAATTACTCAGTCAGACAAACCCTTTACAATACAGTGCACTCCTATAGATCTATAGTACACACAGTACTAAAATAAGAAGCAATCAATGGGGATTAGACGCAACGATCCATCACAAATACAGCAGTACACTTAGATCTGATCAGCCAATGTAGCCTTGGATCTCAGCATTTTCAAAAGTCAGTGAGAAACAAAAGGGCACAGCCACACAGATACAGTGATCTTGTACACACACACACACACACACACACACACCAAGGCTGCTGCCATCCATCCTTCAAATGGTCTGCACATTAAATAGGCCGCCGTTTGCCCTTTCCGTGCGGACTTAAGCCCCAGACCAGTGTGATCCAGTTCAATTTTTCAAAAGAGCTTTTTCACATGAAAGGTGAGTCTGTACAGATGAAAGCCCAGCTCTGAACACACAGCACAAACAAAACCTTTCACCTCAAACAAACCATCAGGACTCATTTGGATGGTGCAAAGACAAAATGCTTTGAAATCATTTTTCATTCATGATGTGTCGACCTGGCCCTTCCCAAATTATCTAATAAACAGGCAAGAGGAAAAGTCGACAACAAATCTTTGGGGAGGAAATGGCTCCTGCTCACAAATAACCGCACTTTTCTTAATGCCCAGGATACAGATCCCACATAAACAGATATGTTGGTGCATTGTAATGTTCACTTAAGTCTAAATCAAATAAATATTGCATTATGTAACACAGTGCTGGGCCCCTGAATCGACAACATATAAAAAACGCTTCCCTTGAATACTAACCTCACTAGTTACACAAGCCACCTTAAACTTGCAAACTCTGTTATCGTAACATGAGAATCCACATTGTAAATACAGGTTGGATTTCAATTGTTAATAGCAAACCACAAATAGGACTATTGACAAGCATCCAGGGGTGTAAAAATCTCACCCTAATGTGGTGAAAATACAAAAGCAACAGGTTACATCAGCTCACTCCTCCTACACCCCACAGAGCAGAGCAGCAGGAGCTATTTGGGACTGTTAAAGCCATAATAGGAAATACTGGCAACAGGTACTGAAGCCAAATCCAAAATATTTCATTGTTTTGCTGCCATCCAAGATCAGGTTGCAGCTATTTATGTAAGAGTGCAAATTCAGCAGCATGTCTATTCTTCACTCTTTACATAAGGCACTTTTGCATAACTTGTCGGAGTTTAGGTTTTCATGTTTTAAACATCTCCACAGACTTAGCAGACTTTCCAACCACCCACACATTCTCTGCCACCAGGAAATGACCCACTCCCGAGTTTAACTGAGGCAGTAGTCAAGCCGCTGAGGGGACTTTCTATTGGTTGCAGCAAATGACCAATCGCAAGAGAGCAAGGAGTGACAACAGGTTAGAATGGTGTCAGCTAATCAGGGGGGAGTTAGGGTTGACTGCAGGTTTTAATCATGTCAACAGAATCACAGGCTCATTATTTCATTTAGCAAAGAGAAAAAGATCAAACTTCCAAGAATGGATTGTTTAAGCTTATGACACAGTACTACATGCTATGAACAATAAGTAAACTGCTAACACTGTTAACTGTATGCATTAAGTAGGGCTGTACGAGACGGTAAAAACATCATCTTGCGATTTCTTTTGAAAGATATTATATTATATTATGTGGGAATAATCATGTTTGAATCACATATTAAATGAATCAGAATCATGGTGATGTGAAATTGTTGGGGATGTGTACCTAACAAACATGTTTTCTTAAATCTGGAGAAGAGAGGTTTGTAGACCAGGGCACCTCTGCAGCACTACAGTGCTTCATTATAATGCTGTTTTGTCACACATTTTATCTTTATCAAAACATTCCAGTGATTGCAATCTGTATATTGCACTTAGCCATACTGTGATTTCGATAATATTTCGATTCATTGTGCAGCCCTAGTTTTAAGGCAACATTAAATACATCAAGGTCTGCAGCATAAAGAAGTTTGCCATCATTTTTCACATAACAATCCTGTACTTTCATTAAACTATTTAACACGTTGCACTTCAAAACTTGAGCAGTAAAACAAATCAAACATCCCAATAAGCAAATCTGAACACTTTTCTGTATATTTGAAAGAATATACGCCGACCAGAGACCCCTTACTCAATGAACAATACTTATCAGACCAGCCGGCAGCGTTATACAACTGCTGAATAACGTTTCACAAAATCTTCAAAACTGTCCGAGCTACGCGTGAACAAACTCTCAACACAAAGCAGAGGAATGACATAATGAAACAGAACTCCCTCTGCTTCCAGCTCAGCCCTGTTTCAGCCAGGGCACTGATACACCCAACACACTAGCACAGATCTCAGGCATTATACAACGCTGCTCCAGTCACATGGATTTGGCTATAGTGCAGCACAAAGCCGTGGTAGCCTTGTTTCATAAAACCACATGCTTGCTTACACTTGCATCCAACCACAGTACTTCTGAAGTGCATTCTTGAATGAAATTTGAGAAGTTACATGAGCATAGTTAAGGATAGGATATACACTCTTGCTAATGCTTTACATAATGCCGTTAATCAAACATTAGGCAAGAGTTATTGTAAGAGAATGGGATAACTGCAAAAGGTATAATTAGGGCTAATTAGTATTTTCATCCTCAGGCCTACTCCAGTATTTCATTAAAATGACACAATCACAGTGAGTTACATCACAGTATCTGCCACTATACTACACAATGAACACAAGCTGCCACATTCATCCTATATTCTGAGATTCAGAATATTTATATATATATATAATACATATTATTCAGAGATTGAGTAATGACATATCAGTGAAACTGCAATAACAATAATACTATCTAATAGAATGACACCTAAGCTTTTGCAGTAGTGCTGTGACACAAAATATCTTCTTTGCAGCTTTATCAATGCTGCCAAGAGTTAATCACCCCTTTATATTAAAGGAAAACTCCCAGCTGCCACCTGTGTGCTCATATGAAGGAGACACATTTGCCATAATTTGGAGTAAAAATCCGTTCAGGGACTACCTGTGGGTCATCTGATAAATGATCCATATGCAGATCATATTGAACTCAGCAGCAATGTTTTGTGATTATTATGTCGACCTAACATTTACAGGTACGGGGGCAGGGACAAACTGTTTCTGTGTGTGTGTATGTGTGAACAATAAGCCTCTAAGGGGACCTTGTACAGTAGTAAGATAGAAATAAACCGTAGCTAGCATGGAAATACTAATCCATTCATTTTTAAATAACACCCACCCACTTACATTTGACATCACTCTGCCTGATATATTGAAATAGAACAATTTCTCAGGTAATACACATTAAAATGAGGCTATGCAGTCCAGCTAGTCCAACCAACAGAAACTGAAAACAGGTCATTTCAAACGTCAGTGATTATATGACAACGCCTATTGTGTTTCATACATAGAAAAGCTTACAGCATATATTATGCTGAATCTGAGAAAATGCAATAAAACATATTTCTGTAATTGGAACAAGCATCCCTTCCCCCATCTAACTCCCATTGACCTGCTATACAAAATCCACACACACGTTGACCTGCAATCCACTGCACGGTACACTGACACAGTTATGTAAAAGTGACGATATCGCTCAAAAACCGACACAAAACAGCAGCCGCTTCCCCAAAGACGGCCAATTTGACAATATCCGACATTTTTCTTTCTCTACAAATGAACAGAAATGCTTGAACCCGGCATTTGAGCTTATAAAAGTACAATAAGTAGAGCGATCAGAATTTCCGCGCATGCGCGCATTCGTTTCAGTTATGCAACTTATTATTTTTTTAGCTTGGTTATTCATTCTTACAACTAAAAAGTACAAATGAAGGAAAACCAACCTGTGCTGCCGTGATAAAAACCGCCTCTCCGGTCGTCCTCGGTGTCGAGTGAAAACAAAGCGGAGCAGTGAGTAAAACATTCAGTGAAACATCCAGCATTCCTCAATGGGAGACGGATTCAGACGGGTTGACACAGTAGTCAGCGGGTCCTCCCCGGCTCTCTCCGGCTCTGCTCCGGCAGCCAATCAGCGAGCTCTGCCCGCGACCTCAATTCAGACCCCTCCCCCAGCGCTTCTCCATTGGCTGAAAATGACGGGTTTCCATGGAGAATGTGACGGAATTGCAGTAGTGCGAGATCATTGGTCCAGAGCGCTGTCCGTCGTTTTATATAAACAACTCAACCGCCGCACGTGGAATCCCATGTTGTGTGTATCGTGCGGCGTGAGACTGGGTAGTTACGGCTCCACCGCAGTGAAAACACCGTATCCAGTGTTGAAATTACATAAATGCAAAAGTCTGAGCAGGAAACAACCAGGAAACGACGGACCACATGAAACATCCGGAAAAAATACGTTTAGTTTGCCTCGGTTCTGTTCTACGTGACACAAACAATGTGTGTAAGCTATCGTAAATGAAATGTTACAACTCTAGTGAGTTAGGTGAGGTGTCCCATAATGCACGTTGTTGCATACATAGCAATTTAAATACACTCTACAAACGTGTTATTGCACTGCAGTGGTGCTGCCTTTCTTCGAGGAAGCGAATAAATAAAATGTCTGTCACGCTGTGGACGATTACTTACCAGAGATTTCTTAATGTACACTTGTAGCTTACAATAAAGAAGGCTATAGCTTCTCATATATAAGCATTTTGGAGGGGGAAACTACAAGCAAGGCACTATTCTTTCCCTCTTTGGTAGAAGGGTGAGGGTATTGTTCATGGAGAAAGGGTTAATCCTCCTCTTCTTATTCCAGACTGAGACCTTTTTTCATCAGACTGATGAGATGAATGGGACTGAGACTCGAGAACACACATTATAATATTATTTTCACATGCTGGCATGGGAGCCACAACGCCATATTTTCTCTTCTCAAGCCAAGAGCCTCCATAGAATAACTCAGTCCAGAAATCTGGACTCTGGCTCTCTGATTATCGTAAGAGCCAGTTTCAAGTGGAAATCACACCCTCCTTCCCTCCCTCCCCACGGAGGTGAGGTGGCACCCTAACAACACATCCTACAGTCTGCCTCATGGTGCTCAGCGTCCACTCACCAGAACATGTGAGAACCAAGTCTCTCACATCCATCCTACTTAAGTTGGCTTGTGTGATACCACACTGACAGCCTCATAGGCTACTGTATGAGGCAATACTGTTTTCCCAACAATGCTTAAAGGAAGAGGTGCAAACTTGCTATGGATGTAAGTAAGTGTGGGTGGATGGGGATCGGACTCTGACAGTAAAATGAGATGGATTCACATATCCATATATCACCAGCCTCTCTTTTAGCCACACACACATACACACACACACACTTCATTTTTCCTGTGATGACAGGGGAATGGGAGATCCTACAGGTGGGTGGAATTCCCTAAACAACAGTGAGTCATGATGTTGGTGGCTTTATCTGTAAATCCCAGGAGCTTTGACTGACAGTCATGAGTATCATGATTATCTAACCACATATCACCTACATTTAAAGTGTGTTATCATATATGTTACCATGTACGGATGAAGCTGTTCTGCATCATGGAGCTCAGCATACTGAAGAAGCCCCATGGAAGTTGAATGGAAGTCACTGGATAATATATTTTACATATATACAAAAGGGCTAAAATATAAGTCAGTATTAAAAAATCATTACCTAATTAACAAATTAATATATGTATTTGTTAATCAGTTGAAAACATTTTTCATGGTATACATGAAAGTTTTTCTTCAAGGCTGCAAACACAATTTCCGTGAAATAGCAAAAGATTTGCTTGTTAATTGTCAAAAAGTGTCATATTTGTGCAGTGGTGGGAGAAGCCTTCAGATCCTTTACTTAAAAGTACCAATAAAACATCAGAGTAAATAGCCCTTCATTCAAAATCCTGTAGAGGTAAAAGTACAGAAATATTACTAGAAAAATGTACTTAAGGATCCAAGGAAAAGTAGCCTTTATACGGGAAATGCAATCTCCCAATGAAAGTAGCATTTTACCGTTGAAATAAAACAGAGAAGTTTTGAAAAACTAGTAATGATGTGAGATACATGTAGTGGGCAATGGGGATCAGTTATATTAATGGGCTGAACTGTGTTATATTAATGCTCCATTTACCGAACACAGGATGGATTTATTAACATAATAAATACATTTCCGAAATTCTCTGTAATGTCTATTTCCTGGCCTTGGTATACAGTAGGTATAATAGTGTCAGCACCATTTGGCTTTAGGTGCAACTGCGTAGGTGTGATTCTGACTGCTCATATAAAAAGGCAACCATATAAAACCCAGCATGTATTGTATGAAAGTAGGCCATCATCAAATATGTGTAAGCTAAGGCTAAGGGAGTGGAAAGTAGTGCCACAGATGCATCACTGAAACAGAGCACAGCTAGTTAACTGCTCTGTCCTCGAACACCTGTGTGTTGGATGCAGCTGTCATTTATATTCATGAATGTAAGTCAGGAACCATCAGCCACCTGTTTCATTCAGTGATGTCAGGGGGAGAAAAGATGTCTGTGGAGGGAGCACAAGGTAAGGAAATCACCAGTTTATGTCATCTATAGAAACCCGGGATGACATAAGAGATTTTCTGAGGCAGATTCAGATGTTGAGCATATTCTCACACACGTCCATGTAACTATGTTTACTGTTGTTTTTCTGCACTGCCCTTGAATAAGCCTTTTATTTCATTATTTTTCATTTGATATTGTATATCCTTTGTTTACATCTACCACTGCATCTGCACTCCCCATGAACAGCCCCTCTACCAGGTTACTGAATTATGTAACCCCAGTGAACAACACCACACACACATACAGCAGATGATTCACACTGAGCATTGTGGCTTTAAGTAATAGAGAACAAATAAATGATGACTGCTGAAGAGAGAGACTTTAACATTCTCCACAGAGTGAAAAGAAATACAGTTCCTGAGTCACATAAACTGCAATAGAAAAAAGCCCTTTTGTGCACTTCAGACGATAAACTGCTGGCACACAAAGGAGCTTTATGATGAGGTGGGTGGCATATGCGAACATCCCCTTAATATCCTTGAATTCTAGTGTAGAGATAGGAGGTTACCAGAGGCAATGCTGACACACAGACCTCACTTCCCACAAACTATTGTACTTTTAAATCAGTGCACACTGTACAGGCAGGAAGTAACCTCAGACCATGTGGATCAAATGCATATTTCCTTTCCGTGTATGTGAATGTTGTGAACATAGAAATGACAGTAAAGGTGAAAGGTGAAGCCCCGACTCTTCTTTTCCTTCTTCATGGGAGACATTTTGACAATAAATGATGGCTGAATTCAATATAGCTGCTTCAGCTTCAGGGTCCTGGCATTGTGAATGTTGCCTCATGATCACAACTTTCTGAGGCACTTGAAAAGAACATTGTTAATGTTATTACTTACACCCTTGTTTTTCCTGCTATAACACATCCAATTTCTGCTGCACTTAAATTTAAATGTCAAACTTTGAGTTTCAAATAAAAGTGTCCCAGATAATTCATTTTCAGTAATTAGCTGTAACTGAGAACATTCACTCAACTACTGTTTTCAAGTACAGATTTAAGGAATTTACGTTGCATTTCATGTTGCTTTATAATTCTACTTCACTCTACATTTAAGACCTAAATAGTGTACTTATTACACAATAATTTCTTTACAGCTATAGATGCTAGTTACTTTACAAATTAAGATTCTACATACAAACTTGATGAGGAGCTTATAAAATAAGATTCATTGTTCATTGATCAAACAGCTTTACAGTGTATAGTTTGAAATGAGTTCCATCTCTACCAACTGCAACAATAAAATGCTACAATAATGCAACAGAACTAATAATAAGCCAACACTCTCTACATTGAGTACTTTTATTACTCCTACTTGGCAATGATGCTACTTTCTTTTCTTATTCCCTTTGCACAAAAATAGGTTTGTGTATATTTCTGATATGGAATCAAAAAGCTCTGAAAACAGAGAACACATCCATGGTGCTGCCCTGAGTGGGTGCCGTCACACAACGAAACAGACTACAGGCGGAGGTGCAGCGCGGTGGAAAATAACTTTAATAAAACTCCTATGAAAACAAAAACCAGCAAAACAATAAAAGCCTGTACATTTGACAATATCCAGTGTCTGAGACTTTTGAAGGCTAAGTGGTGCGAAATACAGCTGCATCACACATAAACCAACAGAGAAAAACCATTATAGGCTTAGGCCTGGGCCTAAGGTTTTATTTAATAGGATATGGTTCATATACTCGGATATTGCACGAAAATCAAACACAGATGCAGATGCTGAGGAGCACCGTATGTCGAAAATGAGGAAGTAGCTTTGCATCGCAGTGTAATGTCCCTACTGATAAACCCCGCCCACACAGCCCCCAGACTCCGCCCACACCTGCTCGTATAAAAACAAACACATTTAAAAAGAGAGCGGCACATATTTTCACATTCAATTCAGAAACAGATAATTAAAAACACAGTATGAACAATGGAATTACTAAAGATTTGCTTTTTGTTTTGGTCCTAACATGTTAAAAGCATCAGTTATTCCTCAGTGAGTTTATCGTAGAATGAGTGGGATGGCACTTTAAAAGGCCGACATCCTTTTAGACTTTAAGACAAGTTGACTAGTGATAACTCACGGGTGATAACATTTTGTCCAATAATGCTCTTGATTTGAACATTTTTCAAAGAAACAATGCACATTGTCATTTCAAAATAAAAGAAACTAAAAAATAAAGTGTTTAGTTTGTTAAAAGACTATTTGAAATTTACATGTATACGTCTTTCTAAAAACATTCCAGTGTTAAAAGGTCCAAAAGAAATGAGATTCAAACAGCGGACCAAAAGGCTCAGGGCATCTTTTTCTCCAATCAATCCTTCTCTTCATCATTATTTCCCTAACAGAAGTTTTCTCTCTGGACTAGTAAAGTAGTCTGGCACATAGACGTCTCATGATAAATTCTTAAATGGCAACAGAAAAAGAAAACTCATAAAAAATACAATCTTCCCGCAGTTTCGAGGCACACTTTTGAGGCAGCGGGAGCGAGACAGTTAAGATGCACTTCCTGTGGGCGTGGTGCACATTGTTTTAAGACATGGGGGTCAGACGTTTTTGTCCTTTCCATATCCGCCCTTTCCACACCCATGTGTTATCTCCGCTGTACTTAAAACAGTTCAGGGGTGCAGTCAAACCATGTCTCCCTTCAGAGTCCATACAAGCTGAGTTTCAAGTCTGTGGGACGAAATTCATTCAACCACTCCAGGCCATGAATTTTGTTGTCAGCCCGCTCTGTAGGAACAGTTCATCTTTAGTGTGGGCAGAGTGGGCGCTTCAGTTCCCTTCCTTTGGCTGTGTGCTCCATCAGCTGTTGTGCCTGTGCAAAACTTGCAACGACGTTACCCACCATGATTCCACAGAAATGTCACGAGACCATGTATTTGGATTTTCAGGAGGCACCATGCCAGAGTGATGCAAGGCGAGGAGGATGCAGTGAGTAAGGGTGCAGGCTGACCGAACTGTTTCAGAGAGTAGGTTTACTCTGTATCTACAGTATATGGGGGTGAATCTGCTCACGATTGGGATATTCCCTTCTTTAAAATCAGGGTGGCTGTCACTCCGTCTCCTCTGCACACCTTTCCTCTCCCACACACTCTCACACTCCTTCACTGTGTCCTCTTGGCCCCTGTCCCTTGGATTTCGAGGGGTCTCAGCTGTTCTAGGAGCGGTTGTCTTTGGCCACATTGTGGGCCATCCAGTTGACTTTGGTAGTCCAGCTCTCTCTCAGGGCCTCGTCGAACTTCTGGCGAAACTGCTTCAGCGCCTCCTCGTCTGTTTTACCCAGAGCCAGAGAGTCCTGAGGAGGGACGGATTGTAGGAAAGGAGGAGGATTAGTTGTAAGGGATGGGTGATGGAGTAGTGTTGAGGAAGGTGATAAAATGGACACAGAATATGTTAAATATTTGAATAAGTGACAGGTATATCAACTTTGCTTAGTGATGAACTAATGGATTGGTAATGTTAGGGTGTCCTGATGGTCTAGAACAGGGGTCCTAAACTCAAATTGGCTTGGGGCCGCTTCAACGAGAAAGAAAGTGCAATATTCGGAAAATATTTCCATTACTAATTATTAACATCATACTTAAGAAAAACATGTGAAGAGTAGTTTCTATACATTTCTATATTATAATTTATCTCATCTGTTGTTTGTTTATTGCAAAAAGAACAAATGAAAGCCTAGAAACCTGCTCTCTTCTTATCAACTCTTTGCACTCATTTGCAGGCACCTTTAACCTTTGCCATTATTTTACAGCAAATAAAATACTATAATTGTGTTTTCATTTTAACTGTATATGTAGGGGCAGTTTAAATTGGTATGAATCAACTAGAAAAAAAATAATAATTGTGGACCCGATTATATTATATTTTTTATGTCATGTCGTGGGATGGAGGGAGGGAAATGGAGGACCGCAAATAGACCCTGGACCAGCAGTTTGAGATCCCTGGTCTAGAGGTTTCAGATGCTGACTAACCAAGAAATTACAACATGTTTGGCCGACCAGCTCTGTTGCACTTCTTCATTCCTCTCTTTCCTCTGATTTACTGTCCCTTTTTAAATGTTGGCTGACAAAAAAATAGATTACTATCTAACTTAAAGTATTATTTTAGTCACTCTGTCCAATGTTCTACTGAGTAATCTTTCCACTACACCACAACAGTTACACATAGAGACATGCAGCTTTGTTTACTTGGTTTGAATTGTCACGAGGTTTTACAAATTGAGTTTTACATCTTGTTTATTTCTATCAATTGCTATACTTTCTGTTTCTTCTCCCACACATCTGTTGAGTTGCCAAAGGGGACGAAGATGAATAGATGCACAAAATACACCAACTAATATATATATATATGTATATGTGTGTGTGTGTGTGTGTG